TACCTGTGCCTGGAGTGGCTGGGCCCAGCTATTTATATGATTCACTTTTTCAGATCTTTTGTAACTCTGCTCAAATGCTCCCTTCTCTGAAAGGGCATCCTGACCCCCTTATGTAAAATAGCGGAATCTCCTGAGCCCCCTGAAATCCTTTTTCACACCTTTGTTTGTCCTCATAGCACTTCCTTATCCCTGCCTGGTAAAGTGGTTCTTTGCTTATTTCCTCCCTTTAAATAAGAATAAACCAAAAATAAATAAATATGAATAAATAATGAGTTTAAAAAATTTGATGAATAAGTGGATTCCAGGAAGATTCCTGAAGAGGGAATGTGGCTTTGCTATAATTGTGTTTAAGTCACTCCCTCCTTGATGCTGTTACACCTTGAAGAAATTTTTACATTTTATTTGTGAATCTCTACACAAAGATGGTATAATTCATGTAGAGTTCAGGGTGTATCTTTTCTCTTACACTGTGAAAGAAAAATAAAATCTCTGACTACAGAGGCTCAGGAGGGAGTTTTCTTAAAAAGTTTTGAACTTGGTGGGAAATAACTTCTGATCTGAGACCTAAGGAAAAGACAAGAAATTCAAACTGAAGGTGACCTGAAGGTTATTGCCTGCCCATGTTCCTGAAAGCTCATCTTCTTTGAGGTCATATTGAGGATCCAATGCAGTCACTTTTTAAAAAATTTAATTAATTAATAAATTAATTAATTTGACAGAGAGAGACACAGAAAGATAGGGAACACAAGCAGGGGGAGTGGGAGAGGGAGAAGCAGGCTTCCCACTGAGCAGGGAGCCCAATGCGGGGCTCGAGCCCAGGACCCTGGGATCATGACCTGAGCCAAAGGCAGATGCTTAACCAACTGAGCCACTCAGGTGCCCCTGATGCAGTCACCTTTGATGATCAGATACACTTATTAGTCCCCATTTAAAATAACATATTACACAAGAACCTGAGACCTTATCAAAATCTATGCTTCAAAAGTGATTCTTTAGGGGCAAATAATGTCTTTGTGAAAAGGAGTATTAAAAGGATGCCTGGGTGGTTCAGTCAGTTAGGCGTCTGCCTTCAGCTCAGGTCATGATCCCAGGGTCCTGGAATCAAGTCCTGCCTTGGGCTCCCTGCTCAGCGGGGAGTCTGCTTCTCCCTCTGTCTGCTGCTCCCCCTTGTGCTCTCTTCGCTCTCTCTCTCTGACAAGTAAATAAAATCTTTTAAAAAAAAGGAATATTAAAAAAATATATTCTGCTTTTGTTTTTCTCATTTATAAAATGGAGCAATGGTGGAAATAAATATGCCTTATACAGGTTTTAAAGTGACTTATAAATATACCTGCAAATGTTCTTATAATTTTCACTCTAGCATGTATTTTGAGGAAGGCTCTATTATGGATTAGCATAGATTGCAATTCTTTTGAAAGTAAGGAGTGTGTATGTGGGTGCTGGGGGTGGGGATGTGGGCAAGCATGAGCTCATTGAGATGTGGTTCTGAACTGGGGGCAGAAACTGCTTCTGAACCTGCTAGTCCTTTGACACATCAAACATAATCCTGCCTGCTCTGTGAACACTCACCTCCTCCAAGCCGGGGGTGTTGGGTTGCTTATTCTCTAAACCAATTTCCCAAATGGGTAATTGTGTTCTGATTCATGCAATTCACCCTACATTTTCTGACCCTTTCAGGTGACATTCCTTCCTCTTTACCTTTAATGGATGTGTAATGAAATGACATATTTCAAAGTCATTGCTGTGCTTCAGGTTAGGGTGGACTACTTTTATATAATGTCTCAGTAGAGGGTCAGAATAAAGCCTGGGGCACTCATGCCCTACTTCACCTGCCCCCCTCCACCCGCCCCCCACCCCTCCTCTACACCAGTGAAAACAAAGAAGTCCTCGAATAGGAGATGACTTTCCAGGCTGAAGATTCTATGGGCTGAAAGGACTTAGAGTCAATCTTAGTATTTCAGATGGGTAAAGAGCACGGGCATTGGGGTCAGTTTGCCTCACTCAAAACTTGGTTCTGCCATTTTTTTGCTGTGACCTTGAGCCCATGGCTTTGACCTTTCTCATCTACAGCTCCTTCAGCTGGAAAATAACTAATAATAATATCTGTGTTGCAGGGTGTTTATAAGATCAAATGAGACACACTATGTAAGACTAGTCTAAGCACAGTATGTGGTATATGGGGCAGGCTCAATAAATGTTGGCTCTCAGATGATTGTCATTGATTCGGTCCATAAGTCATTGATAGGTGACTCACGTCTAGCTGGGTGCTGGAGAGATCGATGGATTAATTACAATCACAGATAATAGAACAAAGCTTCCTACAGCATACATGGGAACAGAGAGAAGGCAATGAGTACTTCACATGGAGGTCAGGGCAAGTATCCCCAAGGAAGTGGACTTTGTAGGAAAAGTGAAATTTCCCTGGAGAAAGAGGCATTCACCTTGGAGGGGCCCCGTGCAAGTAAATTTGTGGGTGTGTTTGGTCTTTTGTTCATCAATCCACATATATTCATTGAGTTCCCACTATGTGGCAGGCTCTGTATTAGATTCAGGGGACACAGTGGTGAGCAAAAACCTAGGGAATTTTCATTCTAGAGGTAAGACAGGCACTGAACCATAGCCTATATGGCCATCAGAGGGCGTGAGGGCAAAGATGTCATTAGAAGATAGAGCCTGGAGACTCTGATTAGATGGAGGGATGGGGGGTGTCCAGTAGGGCTCTGCAGGTACCTGAGATTTGAACTAAGACCCATAAGGTGGGTGTAAGCGAAGTAAGGAGAGTGTAGGGAAGGCTCTGTGCCTTCTGGGGCCTGAACAAAAGCCAGTGTGGCTGGAACTTATGACTCATGTGGAAGGTATAAGAGAGGAGGCTGGTAAGATAACTTAGGGAAGACCATGGAGGGCCTTGATGGTCACCCTAAGGGCTTGGCTGCTTGTCCCAAGTGCAATGAGAAGTCACTGCAGTATTCTGTTTTATGCACAGAAATGCTGGTATCAGACTTATGTTTGAAAATATCTTCTGGATGTTGTGTTTACGGTGAATTAATGAGGTTACATGGAAGTGGAGAGACCAATAAGTAGTTGGATTGGGGTATTGGCACAAAAATACATAGACAAAAAATAAACCGTAGCGGGGTGCCTGGATGGCTCAGTCAGTTAAGCGTCTGACTGTTGATTTCAGCACAGGTCATAATCTCAGGCTCTTGAGATTGAGCCCCATGTCAGGCTCTGTGCTTAGCGCAGAGTCTGCTTAAGATTCTTTCTCTCCCTCTGCCCCTTCCTCTGCTTGCAGTCTCCTTCCCTCTAAACTAAATAAATACATAAATAAAATCTTCAAAAAATCAACAGTTGCATCTGGTAAACTCTGAGGGATTCGGAGTAGCTAGAGAATAAAGTCGGTGGTGTCGAGCTACTAAAGTTACCTACTAAGGTAGGTAGTGCTTTAGCCAGCTTTGGGGGGACACTGATGTCTTAGTCCATTTGGATTGCCATAAAATAATACCATATACACTGGGTAGCTTTTAAACCACAGAAATGTAATTCTCGTAGTTCTAGAGTCTGGGAAGTCCAAGGTCAAGGCACCGGCAGATTTCGTGTCTGGTGAGAACTTGCTTTCTGGTTCATAGGAGGCATCTTCTTGCTGTGTCCTCACATGGTGAAGGCATGCGGTAGCTCTCTGGGGTCTCTTTTATAAGGACACTAATCCTGTTCAGTAGGGCTCCACCCTCAAGACCTATCACCCTCCAAAAGTCCCATCTCTTAATACTATCACCTTGAGGGGTAGGATTTCAACGTATACATTTGGGGAGCCACAGACATTTGGTCAGTAGCAACTGTTAAGATACTTTATGCCAAGAAATTTGCATTTATACTATAAAGAGAGCCAATGGAGGTTAAGAAGTTGGGGAATGAAATAATCAGGTTAGGGTATGTGTGGGGGCTATTGACTTCTCTCCTCCCCTATTTCTTGAGCCAGGCATTCCTTAAATCTAGAATAAGGTGAGAGATAGTGCTAAAGGCAAAGACTGATGGGAGATATATTCTTTTATATAACACAAAAGAGATATACTAAGGGGAGGTTAAATTTGTTAATGTCCGTTATTTATCTTGTAAATATCCTGAGGCCACCAGTGCTTTCTCCCATGCAGCCAGTCATCACAACCCTTGAATGCAGCAGGGGATCTGGATGTAACTGAAGGAGGGACAGCCATTTTGGAAACACAATAAGCCAATACCCTTAGTGGGAGGGGAGTGGTTTATAAAAGTGTTCATATTATGAAAGTTTATAACAGGGACCAAGTAACTGTGGGTTAGAGGAAGGAAAGAGCATGTCTAATGGGGAAAGCTTTCCCTATTGGGAAGAAAAAGGTGATACCATGCAGACTGTAAAACAGAGGCCCTGTAAACCATTGAGAAGCTGGGAGTAAGCCAGAGAGAGTGGGGAAGCATGGGACAAAGCCACTGTCTGTCTTGGAATATAGCACTTGAACCCCGAGTAGAGGGGCATTTTTGGGACTTCTGACACTCCATTCCTGATTATTGAAGAGTGAGATGACACAGCTATGAATTGGGCCACCATTCCCTTCCTTTCTCGGGGTGGATGGGTGTAAGTTACCTTCACTGGGAGTACCCTGAGGGGTTAGAGTATTTGAAAGGCTTTCCATGGAGATGGGGATATAGCTCTGAGAACTATTCATTGGGGAGAATCTTCTGGGAGATAAAAACACCAAAACGAGCTTTCTATCTCTGTGAAGTTTTGAGCTCATGCCACCTAATATGCTTCAGAAAATATAAAAAGGAAGGTAATTCACTGACATTCCTTGCTATATATTAAGGATAACACGGAAATAATTTGTAGCTTTCAAAAATGCACTTTTCGGTCAAGTGGTGTTCATGTGTGGTGTGCCTTCCACTTACTGTGCCTTCCCTTAGTGCGGAGGTGTTGACTGGGCGTGTTCGTTCAGGGAGTGTGATCAGATTTGCAATTGTTCATTTTTCAGGTTACAGAGCTCAACAACGTGAAGAACGTAGCTCGGTTGCCAAAGAGCACCAAGAAACATGCCATAGGGATTTATTTCAATGATGATACCTCCAAGACCTTTGCTTGTGAATCAGGTTCGTCCAAGGCAGGGAGGGCTTTTGCTTTTAGCTTTTAAGCAGGCACTGGGCATGCATGTTAATCTTTCGGACATTTCCACAGATCTTGAGGCCGATGAATGGTGCAAAGTACTCCAGATGGAGTGTGTGGGCACGCGGATCAATGACATCAGCCTCGGAGAGCCTGACTTATTGGCTACTGGGGTTGAGAGAGAACAGAGTGGTATGTAAAGAAAATTCTCTCCTTTGCTCTCTTGAACACTGTTTTTGTCCCACCATAAGACGTCTTCATTATGTGACATTTTTGAAGTTATAAAAAATATATAAGGAAGTAAAAAGAACCTTTTAGTTGACCCAGATCCTGTGTTACTATTTCAATGTGTTTCTTTTCTTAATGTGTTTTCAATGCACAAATATGAATGTATCTGTATGAATACCGTCAGCTAGGAATCTGAGGAAACCTGCAATATGCCAGTTTCTGTGGCAGATGCATTAGATTATTTAATTTTCCCGGCAGCTCCATGAAGCAGGCACTGTACCTGCCCTCCTTTTACAGATGAGGAGACTGAAGCTCAGAAGAGCTACACCTCTTGCTCTAATTCCAACAGCTTATGTTGGATACACTCCGGACCTATATTCATAATATACTGATTTTACCACATAATGGGTTTTGTTTGTTTGTTTGTTTGTTTTGGGTCTTAAGTTTTCCACTAGAAGTATTTCATTGAAAGCTTTCCAGTGTTTTTAATAGAATCCAAACATCCTGACTGTTTTCTCAGGTTTAAACCTACTTAATTCTGTGCTTTTTTTTTTTTTTTTAACTAAACACTTGAGCCAACACCTTGAGCTCAACACTCAACCTGGAACTAAATCATTTTAGGTAATAATGACCAAAATACCCATGAACATTTCAGCAAAACTCAATATTGGTTTACAGTATGAGCCTGGAGGTGAGGAATTATTTCTTTGTTTCCAAATAACCAAGCCTTGTGACAGGGCGGATTGGATCCCAGACTCCTGCTCTTTTGTAGCCCATTGACTTGATCTGTGAGGATGGAACACACCAGAAAAGGCCACGGGTCCCCTGGCTTGATTATGAACATGGCAGAGGTGGAATTGTACTGACCCCTTCCATGGGTGCACACTCCAATTGTTAATAAAAAATGCCCTTGCTTTCACTTGGAACTCTGTCTTTGTGACACTTTACATGCGGGGACTATTTTGGATGCACCATATCTGCCATAATCCATCTCCACGGAAATGTTATTGACTGAGACTTACAAGTGCTTGGCTAATTCAAAAAAGTCTCTTTGTAGACTGGGAAGCTGAGCTGTAGAGAAGCCAAGCCATTTTCCAAGGTCATACAACCAAGCCCTGGGCTCTGACGTGTGGTTCACTGAATCAGGATGCTCCGGGCTGAGAGGATGCACCTGTGGTGCCTCATGGACAGAGGCATATGAAGCCAGACATAAAGAGGAAAATATGATAGATTTTGATTTTTTTTAAATCTAGAGTGCTCATATCAGCACCTAGTTTTCACAAATTTATATTTATGAAGCAATATCCCAATCGTGCTGCAAATGAATCCAAGAACGGGCTGTGCCTAGGTGTTCCCTTTACCGGGCCAACTGTGCCTCAGTTTCCTCTTCTGTCAAATAGGACTAAGAATGTCCCTGGTACATAACTAGGAAGGATTGTTACAAAGCTCATCTATGTCTTTGAAGGCACTTTACAATATTAATTTGTGTGACTTCAAGTACTTGTAACTTAAGCTGTCACTCTTACCACTGTTACTGTTGTTATCCTTGAGTAAAGTAGAGTTATAGAAGAACTTTTAAGTGAATAAATTGGTAATGGTCTCTCTTGCTTTTTACTTAATGATGACAGTCTTTCTGACTTATTCTAGAACTCCTCTGGGAGAGATTTTACTCCATTAGAATATACTTTTAAAATAATAGTTGCTAGAAAGCAGCAAATAATTAGTTATTGGGAGTTTGAAATAACTTTAGAAAATTTGAAAAACAGATCCATGAAATCATGCAGTCATGACACTCCCATTTACTCAACTCAGCTAAAATCGACAAGAATTCTAATGACTTCCTTATTATAAAACAATTAATTTAGAATACCACTGATAAGATCAGTGCGACACTGTTTTGTCAGATAATAGGCGATCTACCATAATGATGGATAGGTGAAAATGTGTTTGGTGTAGTAATATTTTTGCTCATGTTTCGCTTAGAGGTGTTGGCTCATAATTTCCTAAATTAATGAATTTTCTAGAAATATAACAAATACCATGATAGAGTCTGTGGGGATGAAAATTTGGTTGCAGTAATAAGCCAAGTCATTTATTGAGAGTAATCTTGGTTAAATATTAACAGTCATCCAAATAAGCAAATGGATATTTGTAATTGGCTAAAGAGAGTTCTTGTTAAAACTAATTCAAATACATCCATTGGATTTTTCCCAAGCTGGTGGTCAGTTAAGTGCATGGTATTAGCATAGAGTTTTATTTAAATAACTTGGGATGTAGTTTTATTCATTTAGTTATGAAAATTATGAGTTGATCAGTATAACTTTAATATCATTAAATCATGTGACAATTATTTTGCACCTGCATCTTTTGTGAACACAAAAATGTGGGTGTAATTAATATGTACTTGGCAGGAAAAAAATTGTTTTTAATGGTTTCATTGCTTTAGTCTTTTATTGGCATACAAATTTTTTTTATTATGCAAATTCAAAAATTCTAAAAATGGTCTTTGCTCATGTAAATAGTGTTTAGTGTATGTTGACAGCCAGACTGTGACATTATTATGTTACTTAACATGGTCTTCATTTAAAAAATCATTTTCTGGGACTATGAATTTATGAGAAAGGTTTATCTTCCTGAATGTTCAACCTAAACCTAGAGTATGGGCTAGAATTATTTTTGAAATGCCTCTTTGTTCCTACAATGTCTTTGATGTTTTATTCCCGGGATTTTAGACTAACCTTTTGTTTTTCTCCCAGAGAGATTCAATGTGTATTTGATGCCATCCCCTAACTTAGATGTACATGGCGAATGTGCCTTGCAGATTACATATGAGCACATCTGTCTTTGGGACGTCCAGAATCCCAGAGTCAAACTCATCTCTTGGCCGCTAAGTGCCCTGCGGCGGTACGGGCGAGATGCTGCTTGGTTCACTTTTGAGGCAGGGAGGTGAGTTTCATGACTGTTCTTCTACTTTTTCTTTCCCCAGGGTTGCATATCAGATCCACCCTAAAGCATGCTTCTGCAACCATGTAGAGGTATGACCCTACAGTGCTAGGCATATTATAAAGGAGTCATCTGTTCAATATGGCTTTATTTCCCCTGGAGGATTCTAATGTTTCATGAATGTGACATGAATTTTCATTGCACGGTTTGATTCCATACCACAAACTGAAGTTGAATTAGGTAAAAAGGCTGAAAATGTACCATTTCCTGGGTCATGCTGAACATAGACCAGCTTCTTGGGTTTGGAGAAAATCCATATTATTCTGTTTATGTTTCCTTGCTGGCTTACTATGGTAGATTATCAGTATGAGGGGCCATTCATTTCTGAAGGTGCCGTTGATTGAGTTCCATCCACAGTGTAATGAATAGCACTAACACTAGGAGGTTGATTCTAGAACTGGCTTATTGCAATCAATACCCAATAAGCCCTTCTAGGGCTTGCCCTTTTTCCTTTCAGAAGTCAATTTTGAAAAGGGAAGAGGGTGCCAATAATATTTGGGTTGATCATTAGCAACAAAGAGATTTCATCTCATCAGGAGCTCACTTTTCTCCCCCTCACCCACCCTTCCTCCCTGAGAATTTGGGCTCTTTTCTTTTTTAAATGCCGCAGATTAATTTTGTATTTTAAAATTTTAAATGAATAAATTTTAAGAAATACAAGTCCTTCTGTAACATGGCCTGACATTTACATTAAAGTTGAAAGCAGTCAGCTTGTGACTTTGAAAAATCTTTTGTTTGTTTGTAAAAGTGGATGGTTCTTCCCGACAGGAATACAATATTTGATGTAAGGAGAGTAAAAACAGGAGTTCCAAACATGTAAAACCCTAATTTGTGTGAATATATGACAGTATTGCTCTACTAAACTTACTGTGCTCATTCCGTGATAAGCAAAGCCCAATTATTTAAGCTTTGCTTTTCAGAAATATGATCCATTTGATTCTCCTATAACTATCCTCAAAAGTTTTTAAGCTTTTCTTTCCCAAACAGCTCTTTTTCCCATTCTGTTTTATTTTTAAGTACCTAGAAATTGAAATGTTATAAATGAGTCTGTGACTCTCCCAGAGACAGCAAAGGTCCGCATGTTAGAAAATAAAACTGTAATCTTCAGAGCAATGTTCTTTTGTCAGAATTACTTGTTTATTATCCTTGTGGGAACATCTCCATAGAAAGATCAGGATTTGTTTGGGAAAGTGGGTATATTTCCCTGTTTGGGTCTCAGAAATTATTTGTGTATTAATCATTACCAGTGAAATCTATGTATGAAAAATGTTTTATGATAGAAGTAGACTTTTCTATCAATTATATGCCTCGTATCATCTTCCAATTGTGTTTCATATCGATGGCAGTAGAATTCTGCATTGTTCAGGATATTTTAGTATATGTGCTGCCGAAGTGAGCACTGCATTGTTCAGGATATTTGGGGCCTATCTTGGGTAGCCCTTATTCAAACATTAAAACTTTTTAATTATTCCTTGGATTTATAGGAATAATAGTAGGAAGAATATGTCTTTCCATCATAATTTCTGTAAGCTAAAACCTTAGTAAACTTTTCTATTATCTCATGACTAATACTAAACTTTTTTTGACATTATCTTCAGGTTTTAATGTTACTCATGTCTTGCAAAGTTTAATTTATTCATATTAGTCTAGTAGACTGCTAAGGATCTAGGAGATTATTTTAAAGACTGATATTTCTCCTAAGTGTGATAGGAAACCATAGAGATTTTTAAGCAGGGGTGTGTGTGTGTATGGACAATGGAATAGAGGTGGCAGATGTACATATGGGGAGATACTGCAGTAGCTCAGGTAAAAGAAATGGAAGAAAATTATGGATATATTGGAGACATGAATTTCAAAAATATTCCTTTGACCAAAAGCCATGAGGTGCTGAATCAGAGAATGAAAATGATTTTGTAGCTAATGCATTTTGTTCCATGACTTTGTTCTTTTTTTCTTTTTTAAAATTTTTTTATTGTTATGTTAATCACCATACATTACATCATTAGTTTTTGATGTAGTGTTTCATGATTCATTGTTTGTGCATAACACCCAGTGCTCCACGCAGAACGTGCCCTCTTTAATACCCTTCACCAGGCTAACCCATACCCCCACGCCCCTTCCCTCTAGAACCCTCAGTTTGTTTTTCAGAGTCCATCGTCTCTCCTGGTTCATCCCCCCTCCGATTTACCCCCCTTCATTCTTCCCTTCCTGCTATCTTCTTTTTTTTTTCTTAACATATATGGCATTATTTGTTTCAGAGGTACAGATCTGTGATTCAACAGTATTGTATTGCAAAATTCACAGCACTCACCATAGCACATACCCTCCCCAATGTCTATCACCCAGCCACCCTATCCCTCCCACACCCCATCACTCCAGCAACCCTCAGTTTGTTTCCTGAGATTAAGAATTCCTCATATCAGTGAGGTCATATGATACAAGTCTTTTTCTGATTGACTTATTTCACTCAGCATAACACCCTCCACTTCCATCCACGTCGCTGCAAATGGCAAGATCTCATTCGTTTTGATGGCTGCATAATATTCCATTGTGTATATATACCACCTCTTCTTTATCCATTCATCTCTCGATGGACATCTTGGCTCTTTCCACAGTTTGGCTATTGTGGACATTGCTGCTATAAACATTAGGGTGCACGTACCCCTTTGGGTCCCTACATTTGTATCTTTGTGGTAAATACCCAGTAGTGCAATTGCTGGATTGTATGGTAGCTCTATTTTCAACTGTTTGAGGAACCTCCATACTGTTTTCCAGAGTAGTTGCACCAGCTTGCATTCCCACCAACAGTGTAGGAGGGTTCCCCTTTCTCCGCATCCCCGCCAACATCTGTCGTTTCCTGACGTTAATTTTAGCCATTCTGACGGGTGTGAGGTGGTATCTCATGGAGGTTTTGATTTGGATTTCCCTGATGCCGAGTGATGTTGAGCACTTTTTCATGTGTCTGTTGGCCATTTGGATGTCTTCTTTGGAAAAATGTCTGTTCATGTCTTCTGCCCATTTCTTGATTGGATTATTTACTCTTTGGGTGTTGAATTTGGTAAGTTCTTTATAGATTTTGGATCCTAGCCCTTTATCTGATATGTCATTTGCAAATATTTTCTCCCATTCTGTCGGTTGTCTTTTGGTTTTGTGGACTCTTTCTTTTGCTGTGCAAAAGCTTTTTATCTTGATGCAATCCCAATAGTTCATTTTTGCCCTTGCTTCCCTTGCCTTTGGCGATGTTTCTAGGAAGAAGTTGCTGTGGCAGAGGTCGAGGAGTTTGCTGCCTGTGTTCTCCTTTAGGATTTTGATGGACTCCTGTCTCACGTTTAGGTCTTTCAACCATTTGGAGTCTATTTTTGTGTGTGGTGTAAGGAAAGGGTCCAGTTTCATCCTTCTGCATGGGGCTGTCCAATTTTGCCAACACCATTTGTTGAAGAGACTTTTTTCCATTGGACATTCTTTCCTGCTTTGTCAAAGATAAGTTGACCATAGAGTTGAGGGTCCATTTCTGGGCTCTCGATTCTGGTCCATTGATCTATGTGTCTGTTTTTGTGCCAGTACCATACTGTCTTGATGATGACAGCTTTGTAATAGAGCTGGAAATCCAGAATTGTGATGCCGCCAGGTTTGCTTTTCTTATTCAACTTTCCTCTGGCTATTCGGGGTCTCTTCTGGTTCCACACAAATTTTAGGATTATTTGTTCCATTTCTTTGAAAAAAGTGGATGGTATTTTGATGGGGATTGCATTGAATGTGTAGATTGCCCTAGGTAGCATTGACATCTTCACAATGTTTGTTCTTCCGATCCATGAGCATGGAATGTTTTTCCATTTCTTGGTGTCTTCTTCAATTTCTTTCATGAGTATTTTATAGTTTTCTGAGTACAGATCCTTTGCCTCTTTGGTTAAATTTATTCCTAGGTATCTTATGGTTTTGGTTGCAATTGTGAATGGGATCGACTCCTTGATTTGTCTCTCTTCTGTCTTGTTGTTGGTGTATAGGAATGCCACTGATTTCTGTGCATTGATTTTATAGCCTGCTACTTGACTGAATTCCTGTATGAGTTCTAGCAGTTTTGGGGTGGAATCTTTTGGGTTTTCCACATACAGTATCATATCATCTGCAAAGAGTGAGAGTTTGACTTCCTCTTTGCCGATTTGGATGCCTTGGATTTCTTTTTGTTGTCTGATTGCTGTGGCTAGGACTTCTAATACTATGTTGAATAGCAGTGGTGAGAGTGGACATCTCTGCCATGTTCCTGACCTTAGGGGGAAAGCTCTCAGGTTTTCCCCATTGAGAATGATATTCGCTGTACGTTTTTCATAGATGGCTTTTATGATACTGAGGTATGTATCCTCTATCCCTATACTCTGAAGAGTTTTAATCAAGAAAGGATGCTGTCCTTTGTCAAATGCTTTTTCTGCATCTATTGAGAGGATCATATGATTCTTGTTCTTTCTTTTGTTAATGTATTGTATCACGTTGATTGATTTGCGGATGTTGAACCAATCTTGCAGCCCAGGGATAAATCCCACTTGGTCATGGTGAATAATCCTTTTAATGTACTGTTGGATCCTACTGGCTAGGATTTTGGTGAGAATTTTTGCATCCATGTTCATCAAGGATATTGGACTGTAATTCTCCTTTTGGGTGGGGTCTTTGTCAGGTTTTGGGATCAAGGTATTGGTGGCCTCATAAAATGAGTTTGGAAGTTTTCCTTCCATTTCTATTTTTTTGGAACAGTTTCAGGAGAATAGGTATTCTTCTTTGAATGTCTGATAGAATTCCCCTGGGAAGCCATCTGGCCCTGGGCTTTTGTTTCTTGGGAGATTTTTGATGACTGCTTCAATTTCCTTAGTGGCTATAGGTCTGTTCAGGTTTTCTATTTCTTCCTGGTTCAATTTTGGTAGTTGATACATCTCTAGGAATGCAACCATTTC